AGCACCTGCAGAAGGGCTTATGTGTTGGCTGGAGCATGACCACCTTCCACAGCTATGTCTGCAAGGCTGATGAAAGCACTTCCTTCTCCCCTTGAGCCATGCTTCACCCTGTGGGGGTCAGGGCTGGGACATGGCAGGTATCCATGCTGCTGTGTGGACTCCTGACACTGAGAAAGGGTTTGATCCATCCCTGTCAGACACATTGTCTGTGAGGCCTCATAGCCCTTCCCTTGTCCCTGTATTCCCTGTCCAAAATGCCAGCTCCCCTCCCTGCGACACTCTGCGTTTGCTTCTCAGCAGCCTTTGCAAGCTGGTTTTCTCTTGGGTAGAGAATAACAATCTTGGATGCCCAGAGGCAGAGGTACTGTACCCTGGCAGGACTTGGGACTCTGCCTAGAAGCCCCAGGGCACTTCCTGAGATCTTCTTGGAGGGCCTGGCCTCCGGGAAGGAGCTAGCAACATCTCCTGTGATTTCCTGCTCCATCAGGAGTGGGCCCACCTCTGTCCCAGGGCTATGGCAGCTGTACCTGGCTGTGAAGCTGCTTCCCAGCAGCTAGGTCAGGAACAGACATTTGCACTGTCCCCTGCCCTCAGACCAGCTAGGGGCACAACAGCGCAGTGGGGCATCGCTCCTGAGGGCACTGGCCTCCCTGGGTGCTCTTCTAAAAGCCTTTGGCCAGGATGGGCTAACCTTCTCGCTCGGGAGTCTGGGGACATGCAGCGCAGCCGCAACCTGCTAATGAGCCCGGGAAGCAAGGCAGAGTGTTTGTCTGACAGGGCAATTAAATGATGATTGATTCCTGGAACAGCTACTTAATTCATCATTAGCTGGGTTTATCATAGCCAGCATCTGTGCTGAGGGTCCCTCTGAGGTCTGCGCCGCTGCTAGCTGGCGACCTGAGTGCTTCTCCTGTGGGAGGGAAGACATTCAGGATGGTCCCGAGAGGACCTGAGCTGCCCCAGGGGATGTGGTGTGGAGGTGAGATCTGTAAAGCACAAAGCTAAATTTGCTACCTCTTTATTTTCATGCCGCATTTTTCCAGTGCTCGCCTTGAGAGGCAGAGTGCACAAGGCAGCTGTGCATTTCCCACTCTGTGGGGACCACTGCGACCGGCCTGGGCAGCGGGGGTCCCGGCCCTGCGGCGTGGTTACGGGAGCAGCCATGCAGCAGCAGGGGCAGTTCATTAGGGAGTCGGCAGCCCTTAGTCTTGGGGGTAGGACTGCAGCAGTAGTCCGGCTTGAGGAGGGCCCTGGAGTCTGCCTTCCCCCAGGTGTGCCCTCCCCCTGGGCTCATGCTGTGCATGTGTGCCTGCATGCCTGCAGCCTCCCTGGGCACCCAGCTGCACCTCGCCGCCGTTACCTGCTGCCAGCACAGCCCAGACTAGCCCCGTGGAGCTGATGGATGTGCACACTATCCAGTCACAACGGTAATGAGGACAGAGAATGGCCACTCTTCGCCAATTCTGTCTTTTACAGCTTCCCTGCTTTCATCTGCTGACTTCATTCCTTTTCCCCTAAGCCTGGTTATTACCAGGCTTACTTTATTACTAGGCTTACTTTATTACGAGCCTTACTTTATTACCAGGCTTACTTTATTAAGTCCCTGTGTGGCTAAATACACTGTAGGATCAAGATAATCTGATTGGGGTTTGGGGATGGTGGCAGGGCTGGTTTGGCTCTGCCCTTCCCTGCGCATGTGCACATGGGGCTGGCCCTCACCTTCCCTGTCATGCCTTCTCTAATGTCATCTCTAGAGTCTGGATGGCCCTCGTCTCCACCTGCAAACCCAGATTGTGCAGCACCTGCAAGCACCCGTGCTCGCACACACAGGCGCAGTCTCCATGCCATGCGGCGATCGTGGTGCCTGAGGAGCAGGAAGCATCCCCTCTGACACTGGCATTCATCACATCAGCCAGCAGAGAGGGAGGTTTCAGCCTGGCTGCATTCCAGCGGTGCTGAGCACGCTGCCATAGGCATGCTGTGACGCTGGCCCTCGGCGACCCCTCCCCACTGCCAACAAGTGCTGGGACTGGGTACTAGGGCTGCTCTTGGTGGTCCATTTGCCTTAAGAAGTGCATTGAGATCTCTTTCTGCACTTTCCCCCTCATCGCTGCAGCTGTATTATTCTCCTCCTGCTCCCAGGGAGAGAACATCCTCCCCAGCTCCTGAGAGTGTAAGACAGCAAGGAAAATAGAGTTTAGTACAGGTAAATCTTTCATAATCCCAGAGGGGACAAGACTATAATGGACTAAAATCTTCTAGCTGTAGGCCTTCCCTGTCCACTCTGAGCAGTGCAGCAGCCTCTGAGGTCCTGGCCATGCTCTAGGGACAGCTCCAGGGCAGTCTGAGGTACCAGAGAGGTTTGGGCTCTCCCTGCTTCCCTAGAGCAAAGCCTTCAGCCCTGCCCAGCCCAGCCCACATTTTCAGAGACTTCCCCAGGCTTCAGCAGTATTTTCTTGCTGTTTCTTTTGCTATCCACACTGTTATTTTTCCAAAAGATGTTCACCTTGTGACATTTGCTACCTGCAATCCCTCCCTGACCCTCTACCCCGGCCCACGTCAGCCAGCCCTGTCCCAACAGCCAGTCCCTTTAGCATCCTTCAAGATGCCCAAAGTCAGCAGAGTCTGCTTCCAGCAGCAGTCCAGCTCGTAGACACACTCTTCCCACCCTGGTCCATGGTGCCTGCTGCCTCCTGAACCACCTTTTAGGTTTCCAGTTCCTCCTGGCTCCTTTCCCCTCCTTCCCCCAACATTCTGACCATTTCCCAGTGCTCGCTATGGTGAACACGGGGCTTTGCTGCACAGCTCTCCTCCTCTAACCCACTGCTGAAGGCCTGAAGTGAGCAGAGCAACAGCCTCCCTGCAGGCAGCACCCGCTGCTTGGTGCCCAGCAGCCTGCCTGCAGCTGGTGGGCCAGCATTTCTCAGTGCATTTGGAGCCAGCTCCCTCTGGCAGTTCCCAGCAAGTTCCCATCCCTCCCTACTCTGGCTTGCTGCCAGAAACATTTCTTGAGCTGAGGCATGAAAGCTCTACCAAAACTGTCAACTTTCTTTTGCTAGTGCTGAGGTTCTACTCCTGCTTGGGCTGCTGCTCCCAAATGACGCTCAGTGATAGGTGTCTCCTTACTGTTTCATTAAAAAGCAATATACTTTATTGGAAATCTAATTTGCATGTTGAGGTAAGCAAAGAAGAGGTTCATGATTCCCTTTCCTGAAAAGCGTGATGGGGCTTTGAGCTTCTCTGAGCCTATGTGGGAAATAAAACTGTCTGTGCTGCAAATACGTATCTCCCTCAAATATTTTGAAAATACTTAACAGCCATCTGCTGCATGAGCCATTGCAGGCTTTATTAGTAAGGTGGAAGACTGCAGAAAGCAGAGAACAGTTTTGGAAGGGAGAAGTAGAGAGCATTTGCCAAAACATGCAGACTTCTAGCAGAGTGAGAGTGCTTTTGCATAGCTCCATTTTCCTGAGCAGCTTTCCAAAATGTGACAACTGCTGCCAGAGCAAAACCCATCAACAGGCCCTTTTAAAACTGGGTATCACACTCTAACCTGTGTGGCATTGGCAGAGTTTGGCCAGAGGAATGGGGCCACTTGGGCTTTGCACTCTCTGGAGTCCTTAACTCCAACTTCTTTATATTTTTTTCTTGAGCTCAGGTTTAAAGCCAAGGTGATGTCCTCTTTATGAAAAAGCCTACTGCACCTCAGGGAACCCTATAGCAGGTGGAAGCGTATCTCTGTTACACAGCATCCTGCAGAGGAGGCAGTAACAGAGGTCTCTAAGGAGGACAGGAACATTTAGAGTTGCAAGGCAATAAGGTGGCACGGTTTAGGAGCTGGGAACATGCTAGAGAGTGACTGTTGAACATGGGGCTCAGGAACTGAAGAGCACAAAGTAATTGTTTCTGGTGGGGAAAGCTCATATTTCACTACATATTTTCTTTGTGCCAAGGTGGGTTGGGAAGCCAAAATAGCAACTCTCCTCTGAAGAAAAGGGGTTGAAATATTTAATCTCAGAAATTTTCATTAAAACAAAACAACAAAACAAAACAAAACAAAACAAAAAAAACCAGGCAGCACAAGGTTTCAGCACTCTGAAGTGGAAGAAGGGAGAGGGGAGCAAATCTCCCTCAGGAAGAAGCCCATGTTGACATTTGTAGCTGAGGATCCTGTTTGGACTCAGCATTTTCTGAAGCCAGTGGCCAGGAGCCAGGGCTGCACAGCTGCTGCAGTACCCAAGAGTGGGGCTGGTTTAAACAGGGCTCTGACGTGATGAGTCGTTTCCTTAAATTGTCATAATTGCAACGCAGACCAAACCCCGTGGGTTTTCCCCTTTAGTCTCTGCATCCCTCGTTCCTTTGCACGGCTGGCTGAGCATCCAGCACTCCCCACCCCAGCCTAACCACCACCTCCATGTCCTCACAGCAGTCTCCTGGCTTCCCTGGATGGCTCACTGCTCTTGCCCCAGCCCCAGCTCAGCCTGCATGTGTAATGCCCGGAGGGCTGTAATTTGTCATGCAACCCTCTGTTTTGGGAAGTCAGGGAGGCCCCTCAAATCACTGCCAGCCTCTTATCTACTTCTGTGCTGTTAGGCTTTGTAGCAGCATACGTTATGAACCAGCCGAAAAGATGCAGTAGGTCCTTTTCTGTCAGGCTGCACGTGGCTATCTCAAGATGCATTACAGATATAGCAAATCCTCATCTTAATCCAGCCAGGATCAGACCATCTTGTTTCAGGGCTGTATCCTTATCTTACTACCAGCTGGGGAGAGATAAAAAGACGCTCACTTTGCTGAGATAGCATTCAATCCACGGAGAAGTGGGGAGGGCTCTTGTTTCCTCTAGCGTTGCCAAATTGTTCTGTTCCTGCTAGCCTCGTCTTGACATGGGCTCCGCATGGGCGAGAGGCTTTTCTGCTCCCTTGCCTTGTTGAAACAACAGCCTTCTCCCTCCCGCTCCCTCTGCTCCCACAGGTTCGCTCCCCCCCACCGGCGGCAGCATGGAGAGCGTGCGCGAGCTCCAAAACCCGCTCTTGGCCAAGGCCAACGGGCACCTTCGCAGCAGCTATTCTTACCACCAGCGTCCCAGCCAGGATTACCCCAGTCATCATTGCCAAGGGAAACTGTATTCCTACATCTTCCAAAACACTGGCGGTGCCAGGACTCACCAGCTGCTGGATGCCAGTTCCCTGCAGCTGGCTGTTGAAGCCTTGTATGGCCAAAATTTCATCCTCGTGAAGGATGAGACTGCTCTCAAGGCTAAGGACAGCAAGATGGAAAGCTGTGAGACCACTTTTACAGAAAGCAGAGAGACTCCGTCCGAAGGTCCTGATGGGCATGAGACACAAGGGCCCTGCCTGGTAGAGAGTGACGTCCGCATCCAAACTGTGTCCTATGAGGTGGAGGAAGAGGAGCTCCAGGAGTACGAGGTGAGCTTTGCCAGGTGGAATGGCATTGAACTCCTCCTCTGGAAACTCTGGCCACTGGTGCAAATTTTTGATTGTTTATTCTCCTTTCTTTCCCCAGAGCTTCCCTCCTAGACCCTACCAACTCCTCCCTCACCGGCCTCTCCTTGTGCACCAAATATTTCTTCTTCCTTATCATTTCTGCTTCCTTTTCCTCGCTGCAGACCTCGGAAGGAGGTCGGCTTCCCCGAGGGCAGCCTGGCTGCACATCCTCTGGGAGCAAAGGGGAGGTGGGGCCGCATCTGCAGGACCTTTGGGATACGGAGACTCTTTGACAAGGGCAGCCTGACACTGCTGTGGCACTCAGGCTAAAAGTAAACAGCAATCCTTGCATAACAGGAAAATTCACATGCCTGGTGGCAGCAGCTGAGAGAAAGCTTTGTATATAAAGATGAATCTTGCAAAGCAGCCTCATGCTGTGCTCTGTGCCCCAGCACAACTCACACAGCAGTGCAGAGGCTGGGAACATCATCTAGGACCTTGAGAGGTCCCCAGAGCCTGGTGGAACTGATGTGTGATGACCTAGCACAGCTCTGTTGCTTTCAGTGCTGGTGATGTGGCCTTTTCAAATGGCAGCAGAGATGTCCCCACCTCTGCATGCTTTCCCCCACAAGACACATCACTTCCAGGCCAGTCTGTGGCTGGCTGAGTGGAACCCAAAGGCAGGAGGGCTGACCACAGCTGCTCTGAGCAATGTGCTCACTAAGGGGAGCAGGACACGTTGCCCCTGTGGTGGAGGCTCCATTTCAACCGCTTTCCCTCACTTGCTAAATTAGTTTAGCAGGGTATTGATCTCCTAGGCCCTAATGGGGTAAGTTTGTTTAAGCTGACAAACAGCCAGTTCTGCCAAAGCTGAAGATATTTCAGTTTAAGACTATCTATCTCCCAGGGAAATCCCAGACCCCCAGCAAGTGAGCTCAGCATTTGCTCTGGCAGGGAGCCAAGAATCCACTCCACTCCAGAGTTTGCTGAGCTACATTTTTTCTCATCAAACCATGCTGAGGAGGCTAAAATATTTTTGAAACTCACTCCTTGAATTTGCAGGTAGGAAGCTGTTGTAGTTTAACCCCAGCCAACAACTAAGGAGCTGCTGCTCACTCACTCCTCCATGCTCCCAGTGGGATGAGGAGGAGAATTGGAAAAAAAAGTAAAACCTATGGGTTGATACAAGAACAGTTTAATAACTAAAATAA